ACGTAACAATTGTTATGTTTAGTCTAAAATAGTTCTTTGACTTGTTTTTTTATGACATTGATTTTATTTTCTAGTTTTCTACAGATCAGTATTTTAAACCTATATATTCCTTTAACTAAAAATAAATGGGTATATGCATGCTGCATTAATGGATATGTTTGCTGCAATTAATGCTTATATTAATATGTACATATATTGTGTTCACCATAATGTACAAAGAGCAAACTAAAAGGTCTTGTAAACGTAATGTCAGGAATTATTATTAGTTCATTAAGTGACAGATATATCAGAATACATGTAAGATATTCGTAGTAAGAAAAACTGAGAATTGGGCATAATAATTTTCTTTGCTATCATCACCGTTTCCCTGTAAATCTAAAACTATTCTAAAATTGAAGTTTATTGAAGAGTAATAATAATTCTTGTGCCATAATAACAAGAATTAACATTTTATTTTTGTTTTTTTTTTTGTTTTGTTTTTTGTTTTGGTCCCAGCAGTGTTCACAGCTTACTGCTGGCTTTGCTCTCTTGGATACTCCTGGTAAGGTTCAGGGTACCACTTGGAGTGCTGGGGATTATACCCAGGTCAACCAAGTGTAAGGCAAGCACCCTACCCCTAAACTACAGTAAAAGGATAAAAATTTTCATAAGCTACTTGTAAGACAAAAAGTGAAAAGTAAATATATGAACAGCCCTGGTGTCTGTCTTGACTATGAAATCTTGTAACCCAGTGCATTATAACTCTCACCATGATAACATTCATAAACGTTGTGGTAAAGCTGTTTCCATGAATGGTTTTGTGTTAAACTCTAAAACAGTTTGGGAATCACCTGTTCACTATTGTTATTTTCTTTTTTTCCATTTAGTTGTAAGGATAGATCCTGAATTAGCCCAAAAGAAATAGTCAAAATATTTGTCCCTATTTTGTTTAGACTCTCAGAAGTTGGGGTTTCATTTGTCGTAGTAAGAAACCCTGTAGTAAAAAACCTTGATAAACATAAAAGCAGAAAGTTTTCACACAGTTGTAACAATCTTTATGGTGTTCAATTATTGAGGTCCTGCAGGACCAAACAAGTAAATCAATGGACTGCTTTCATGTCTTGATATAAAACTGATAATGAGTTCCTGGAAATTAGTGATGAGGCTAGAGGCAGTTCTTGCAAGTTTGAAGAACTAAAGGTTCAAAGTTAAAGAGCTGAAGTGCAGTTTGAAATTATTAGTTTTTCAAGATTGAATTTTTCTGCTAAAAAGGAACTAACCACTCTGTACTTCAACTTTCTCATTGCAACAAGAGGTCATAAACTACAATAGCTCACTGGATCTTTAAAGGAGCTTCTGAAATTCTACAAATCAATAATTGGAAATATATATTTTTCACTCATTTTTTAAAAAATGTTAAATGTCATGCACATGGTTGCATGAAATGATGTTTACTCTTGTAATCTTAAATAAAATGAAAAAAATAATGTCTTATTAACTTAAAACTCAAAAGTTGTGAGTTGGCTAAAAACTAGTCAGTTTTCACATTCTATTAATCTATCTTCAACCTATCTTCATAAATCACCCCCCATATTTTCATCAAGAAAATTTCTATCCCATAGAGAAAGGAGCACTATGACAATGATCACACAAAAAAACGTTGTGGTTCTACACTGAAAATGTGAGATCATGAGATCTAAGCTGCAGCCACTGGACTTTCATAAATGTGCCTGTCACGTTGACAGGTGGGGTTGGGGCCAGTGGTGGAGGTGGGGAGGAAATAGGGGGAAACTGTTAAGAGGGATGTTGACAATGGTGCTGGGACTGGTGTTGAAATATTATATGCTTGTAGCACTATAGCACCGTCCTCCCATTGTTCATCAGTTTGCTGGAGCGGGCATCAGCAATGTCTCCATTGTGAGACTTCTTGTCACTGTGTTTGGCATCTCGAATATGCTACGGGGAGCTTGCCAGGCTCTGCCATGCGAGCGGGATACTCTCGGTAGCTTGCCAGGCTCTCTGAGAGGGGCGGAGGAATCGAACCCGGGTCGGCTGCGTGCAAGGCAAACGCCGTACCCACTGTGCTATTTCTTGTTAAAGAACTGAGGTCTACAAAGCTATTGATAATTGAGTTTTAGGCATATAATTAGCTAATCAGCTTATAGGTTTAATTATATGCCTAAAACTCAATTATCACGAACTTTGTAGACCTCAGTTCTTTAACAAGATATTTTTTAAAAAAAAATTTGTGATTCTAAAAATACTTTAAAATTTACTTTTAAAATAATTAGACCAGATAAAAAATACATTTAGAAAGCCATGCTCAGCATATTTCCTGGATTTTTTTTTTCACATGCCGTCAGCAAACAGTGAATATCATGATTTCCTTCCTTATGCTGCTAATTCTCATCTTGGTTGATTTACTCTAATGATTTCCATCAATTTTTTAAAAAAATATGTATTTTACCTTCCTGGATATGTTTTTTTTGTGTTTTGGCTCTTGGGATCTCTTGGCTACACCATTTTCAAAGTAAGATGAAATGTTACAGACAATATAACATTTCAGGCCTAATTTTGTTCCAGATCTATCTCATATTTATGGTACATGTCACTACCTAAGAAAGTAATTTCCGAGTCCTACCTCATAACAGATCTACCCAAATTTTTCCTGCCCGACTGGAAACTGCTGTTAGAGTGTTTGGTTTGCTTTTCGGATTCCTTGCTTTCCTCAAATAGGAGCTAATCAAAATAAATGCATCGCACTTACTGGTTACATTTCTGTGATATTTTTGAATCAGGAGCAATTCTTCAACTTGTTTGTTTTCGTGATTAGCTTAAGAGACTAGACCAGTTCTGGCAAACAGTATTCATGTTGTGGGTTTGTCTGATTTTCCAACATTGTGTCATTTATCTCACTACTCTTCCTCTGTATTTTGGAAACTAGTGCTTAGTTCCAAAAGCTTGATTGGAAACAGGTTGAAAATTTTTATGCAGAACCGTTTGATAGGTGTATATCTACTATCGGGAGGTACCTACAATTGCTCCACTATTAAGGCTACCAAGTTTATTCTCTTACAGTGGTGATAAGCAGGTCTCCAGAGTGACAAGTAGAACTTGTGGGATGATAATTTGTCCCTTAAGGTTATCCCTTAAGGTTATCTGTTCTAGAATCAGATAATCTGCTTATTTTGTATCATTTTGAATCAAGTTTTATTCAGTTAAAACTTGCAAATTGATCGGTCACATTTAATTGTCATTATTCCTTTGTCATTTATTAATTAACAATCTTCTCTGTAAAGTTTTCCCTCTTCAGTGGGGGAGGTGGTGCTTTGTATCATCTCACAGTGAATAATAGTGCAGCATATCACTTAAGGAAGGAGAGAGAGAACAAAAGGGAATGCGCTGCCACAGAGGCTGGGGGGGATAGGGGGTGGGAGGGATACTGGGATCAGTGGTGGTGGAGAATGGGCACTGGTGGAGGGATGGGTACTCAATCGTTGTATAACTGAAACCCAAGCACAAAAAAGATAAAACAACTTTTCAGATTGAGTCCTGAAAAAAAAAATCAGCCTTCGCTAACAGATCTGAGCTATAGAGATCAATCGAAACTTACATTTCACTTTTTAAAGAGTTGCAATGTAAATTAAATCAGAATGTGGAGAACAGATGAAATTTAAAAGTGGTGTTTCAAAGGATGTGCAAACATTATGAGAGACTTGGTGAAAAGGGATTTCAGTGACTATATCAGCAAATATCTATTGATCTCAAACGTAATTATTAATAGCAGACAGTAAAAAAGTGCTTAGCGTATCGTTGTCTCTCAAAGAGATTGTGATTTGTGTGGCCAGTGTGGATCAATAGTTCACAGATTAACAAATAATGTGGACTGCTAATCTTGTCACATTATACCATGTAAGACTTGCCCCCCCAACCCCTCCCCACCCCTCCCCTTTGTTGCTCTATCTGCTTTTTTCCCTAGCACCTCCCTCTGCTGTTGGAACTCTGTTGCAATTCATGAGCCTTTTTTTTCTTTTTGGGTCACACCCAGCGATGCTCAGGAGTTACTCCCTGGTTCTGCACTCAGGAATTACTCCTGGAGGTGCTTGGGGGACCCTATCGAATGACAGGGTTTGAACCCGGGCTGGCCACATGCAAGGCAAATGCCCTACCTGCTGTACTATCACTCGGGCTCCATCCTCGAGCCTTTGTCCTTTCTCTTTCCTCCCCCAAACACACTCTTCTCCCAGTCTGTCATTTTCAACCCCAGTTCAAACCCCACTCCTCCTGTGAGGCGCCTTCCTCCCTGAGCTCTCCAGGGAGAAGTCCCTCACCTCTCATCTCTATGTTGGACCCCATTTCCTTTCAGATCTTCTCAGGGGCTCCCATAAGTAAACCTCCCGGTGCTCACTGTTGGAGTCTTGAGAATATGATTGACCCAGGAACTGAAATGAAGCACGTTTTGGTGTTGATTGGGTTTTTCACTGACTTTGAGAATCTCCCCTTAGCAATAGATTCGACTCTGTCATCAAGTGGACTCTGTGTGTAGCTTTCTTTGCTGTCTAGTACACAACTAATGCACTGCAAATGCAGATTTCTGAGTGAGCGGGAAGCCAGAATTTGAGGATTATTCACCACCTGTTTTTTGGGAGCAGTGTGAAGGTGTAGTTCTTTCACCATGACAGAAAGGAAAAGGGATAAATTAGTCTTGTATTTAAATATTACAATGAAAATAAAGCTTATTTTCCTAAGATCAAACCTTTTTGTTCCTTTGTTGCCCACTTGAACACTTTTAAATGGAAATAAAACAATGGTGTCTTGTGCAGCTGGAAGATTTTGTAGAAAATGTTCACCCTGCTCGACAAGACGTTGTTTGAAAAAACTTTTCCCTCGCTCTCTATAATAAGCATTGCGTATTGGCATGATTCTTTGCAACCTAGCACCTCAGAGCATCCGCAGATATTTCTGTGGCCAGAGAGTGACGTCAAGACTCTCATCACCCCTTTGGTTTTCTGTCTCCGCAGAGGCAGGGGGTAAGAAGCTCCGGAGCACTGTCCAGAGGAGTACAGAAACAGGCCTAGCTGTGGAAATGAGAAACTGGATGACTCGACAGGCAAGCCGGGAATCAACAGACGGCAGCATGAATAGCTACAGCTCGGAAGGAAAGTGAGTGAGGCCTCCATGATGGGTCTTCCCAGAGAGCGTCTTCTCTGGCACACGCACAGACGCTCTGATACACATGCGTAAGATGCTCTGACATGCACTGACACTTTGGCACGCACACTGAGGCATGACACGGACACACACTCTCCTGCACTCAGTGCCATTTCTGTTCCCTCTGAATGGCCATGGAAGTTAGGGCTAGAGATGAAGCTTTGCTTTCATGGCAAAAGGCTACTACATGCCTGTCACTAGCCAGTTTGCCCTCGCTGGAAATGATCTATGCAGATCACACAAAAATTGTAAGTACTCATGACATCCCCAGGTACTATGGCCATTTTTCAAATTCTTGCCTGATAACCAAGACTGTTGATCCAAACTGTATTCTGTGCAGTCCCAAGCAATTCCACTCAGTGGGATAATGACAGAGAAATGCCCCCATGACAGTTGGTGAGCCTGTCCTTGGCTGCATTGGAGAGTGATCACTGTGAAACCCTGTAAATTAATACAGACCAGCAAATTAATATGGACTAGAAGCTGCAGCTCTGTGGGTGCGAGAGTAAAGGATGTTCATAGAGGAAGCTGTTAAAAATGTCACGGTACCTACTACAAGAAGAATTAGTAAGATCTATCATAGGTTGGATAGTACTTGTGCTCCAGAGTAAAATTAAGCAAAAAGAAAAAGAGAGAGAGAGAGAGAAAGAGAGAGATTATATACAATTGGATTTTATGTAAAGAGAAAAAAGTATACACTTGAGTAAAAATCTGAAGACAGTTGGTGGGCACATGGATATGTGAGAGAACATTCTAGGTAGAAGAAATGACGAAGTCTGGAGGCAGGTATTTACCTAGTGTCAGCAGTGGGAAGTGGAGTGATGTTGAAGGGGGAAGCAGATTAGGATTTAAGTTGGGGGCTGGGGGCAGGGGCCTGTGCTTTTACTTGAAACCGGGTGAAAACTATTGGAGAATTTTGAGCAGAGAACTGACATTGTCTGATTTCAATATTCATAGCTCTCTCAGGGCATGTGGGGTCAGGAGGGGAGATGGCAGCAGGGAGAGCATTCAGACGACAAGGATGGTATTAGTGAGGTCAGATTCCAAAGGCATTTTGATGGCAGAGCCAGTTAGACTGATGGTGGCAATTCTTGTGTATAATAAGAGACAAAGAGGAGGTGCTACAGCTGCCTTCACAAAACACCAAGGGCCAGGGGTCTATTTTGTGTCGATTCTGGAGGCTAGAAGACCAAGATCCAAAGCTTTGCCTCTGTCCTTGCCCCACAGATGGCCTTCCTCTCCCTGTGCCCTCACAGGGTCTTCCCTTCCTGCCTGCATATGCCCAACTCCCCTTCCTATTAAGGCACCAGTCATATTAGATGGGCCTTACCCACTGGCCTTCATTTATACTTAAGAACTATTTAAAGGCCCTCTCTTGAAATACAGACACCTGGAGAGAGTGGGTGACTTACATATAGGAGTCGGGGTGGGGGAGCAGAATTCAGTCTACAAAGGAGGAAAGATCAGTTCAAGATGGATCAGGCAGAAGAATGAGATTCCCATTGATGACTGCGGGAACTCTAGAGAAATAGTTTGATCTTGTGTTTCAGGCTTCACAGTGTGGGGTCAAGTAACTTTTCCATTAACTGCTGAGTCCATAAGCATATTTGCAGATGAAGCCATTAAATTTCAGATTTATGGCCCAAGAGAATCATTCAAGCCCAAGATGGCAGTCCGGGCCATTTGTCTTCAACCACCCATACACAGGTGTAAAAAGGTTGAAGACCACCTATCTACCATCTTGGTTTATATAACTGCCACTCCATGGACGGATGTGCAGGACAAGTGACAGTTGGAAGGGTTGAGTAATGTTGGTAGATGCAATATCAGCAATGGTGGTTTTATGACCCAGAGTGGATGAAGTTGCCAGGGATTTCAGACATCCAGGAGAGGTAAGAGGTGGAAGGATCAAGCACCCAATGTTTAGTAGCAGAACTTGCCACTTAGGAGATCAAGAGCAAGCATCAAGAGAGAGGGCCCAAGAGAAGAGAAGGCACAGGAAGCTAAGTAGAGAATGAGTGTCATGGAAGACGGAGAGGTCCTAGTGTCAAATGATGCAAATACTTTTAATTGGGTCAGTGTGAAGTTTAATGGTGGGATTTTCAATGTAGCTATGAGGTAATCTTGATCAGAAAAATTAGTGGAAGGGAGAAAAATAAAGTAAGGAAGAGAGCAAGGAAAAATAGATTCAAGTTTGAAACGACAATGAGAGGCAAGAAAGTGAAAGATCACAAAAACACAACCTCTTTGAGGAGTTTCTGGGGAGAAATGGTGATAACTGAAACAGTATTGGAGTCGATATGGTAACACCCACTGCTCCTGTTGAGTAATGAAGCTGGAGGGAAACTTGCGCTTTCTGGAAATAAACAAGGGATGGAGGTTTAAGTCCATGTTCTTTTGCTTTTAGTCTTATTTTTCCCGGTGTCCGCTTGGCCTCTGACAGTCAATTCAGTGATTTTCTGGATGGCCTTGGCCCTGCTCAGCTCGTTGGGCGCCAGACTCTGGCTACACCTGCAATGGGTAAGTCCTCTCACTTGACTGCATTGTTTTTTGTTTATGTAATTAAAAATTGCATTCTCTGAATTTCTTATCAATATTTTCAACAAGAATGAATGTCTTAGATTTTGGCTACTGAAAATAAATCTTTATTGTTTATCTTAATTCATTGTATACATTAAAATGTCTAACCTATTGTGCATATTTTTAATAATAGTATTGATAAAACCATAATATATATATTCGAATTTAGGAAAAGTTACAGGAAATGTTGAAATGATGTTAAACCAAAGGCTTGGGTTCATTCACTTTTTTCACAAAAATATGTGTGTTCCGCCCATCCCATTAGGTGACATTCAGGTGGGAATGATGGACAAAAAGGGACAGTTGGAGGTAGAAATCATTCGGGCCCGTGGCCTTGTTGTAAAACCAGGTTCCAAGACACTGCCAGGTAAAAACAGAAGAAATTTATTTGTCACTGTTCATGTTGCACCTTTTTAGTTTAAAGGCTTTATATTTTATTTTCCAAAATTGTTTATACATAATCTTTGTTTTGTAAGCATACTAATAAGTAAATCAGTTTTCTATATCAGTTTATATATTTGTCCTGAGAAAACATTCAGTGAGAATGGTCTGCTGGGAATATATAAATTGTTTAATGTATGCATGTATAATAGAAACCACTGCATAATAAAAACTTATCATAGTAAAATCATTTTTATATAACATATACATAAGTTATACCCGTTGGCTGGTGTTTTTTATTATTCTTCAATTTTTAAAGAGGCTCAGAACTCTTCAAAATCCCTAGAGCTCTGTTGGGGCTGGAGCAATAGCACAGCGGGTAGGGCATCTGCCTTGCATGCAGCCGACCCTGGTTCGATTCCCAGCATCCCATATGGTCCCCTGAGCACCGCCAGGGATAATTCCTGAGTGCAGAGCCAGGAGTAACCCTTGTACATGGCCAGGTGTGACTCAAAAAAGCAAAAAAAAAAAATCCTTAGAGCTCTGAAATGTAAATAAAAATAGATACAGACCTCCAAAATAGCATAAACCTATATATGCAAGGCAGTATAATTATAAAGACTTCTATTTCCTGTAGCAGGCAAATAAGGACAGAAACCATTATAAGTTCTTGCCATGATGTCAGCTGTTTTGGGCTGAAATGTCATTATTCTCTAAAGTGTTTGGAATCATGGCAAATACCACCGACTCCATATAGATTGTGGAAAGATGTGCAGAACATCGGATCTGATGTCTAGCACAGTTACTACACCTTCTGAACCTCGATTTCTTACCTCAGTACCCCCATCAGTAATCAATTACAGTTTAGAATCCCTTTGTTCTTGAAGAAATTCCCATAATTATCTGATATAATGTCTTGTAGTGGTGATTTATAAACAATTGTCTTCATTGATGTCTTAGAGCTAGTCAAACCACAGTGCTATAAAGAACACTCTAATTATTTGTACATGTATGAAAATGCTTTTATGAGGAATTCAATAAAGGTCAAGCCACAGAATTCATAATTAGCTCCCAGCTAATTTGAGCACTTTATTTCCAATCCCACTATGGGATAACACACCACCACCAGTAAACAAACTCTTTTGTGTGAGAAGTAAATGATTTGTGGGTATAGGTAAATAAAACATAGTCTGGAGCATGGATCATCCAAAAATGAGAGGAACGGCTGGATTTTGTATGTTTGTTTGTTTGTTTGCTCGGTGATCACACCCAGCAGAGCCAGGCTTACTCCTGGCTCTGTGCTCAGAGATCAGTCCTGGGTGGCTCAGGGGACCACATAGGATACCAGGCATCAAACCCTAGTCAAGTGTGTGCAAGACAAATATCCTACTCACTGTACTGCCACTCCAACCCCAAGCAAGAGCTGGATTTTGTTAAAGGGAAAGGAGATCTTGTTGGTAAATAGGCACTCTGTGAGCAGCAAAGTTTGTCTAAGCTGTGGCACAGGCTTCAAAAAGAGGAAGTGAGCATCTGACCAGGTGGAGTTAGGATGGCCTAACTAGTCTAGCCTGGTCTAGATATATCTCACAATTTTTCAGGGTAAGTCATAAATACTTATGGTGGCAGGGGGGCTGGGAATGGTGGCCATGTATAGTTGGGGTTCACATGACAAACATGTATAATCATACAAAGAGTATACATCTGAGAAGTCATCGGAGCATATATTCAGTATAGTGCTGAGGAGAGAGGTCATGAGGTGAGGGAGGGCTCCACTGCGCAGCTTCCACTGATTAGCCAGTCCTGAGTAACTGGGTTCTGGGTCTTTACAAAGCTACATGCTTCGAGAGAGGCGTGTCACAGCCTGCAAATGACAAACCTGTCTGGTTTTGCACTCTTAACCCCGGAGAGTCCCCCCAAGTTATAAGGGGAGTGGGGGGATATCAGTGGGTAGGGTGTTTCCCTTGCACACGGCCGACCCAGCCGACCTGAATTCCATTCCTCCACTCCTCTCGGAGAGCCCAGCAAGCTACCAAGAGTATCTCGCCTGCACGGCAAACCCTGGCAAGCTACCCATGATGTATTCGATATGCCAAACACAGTAACAAGTCTCACAATGTTACTGGACCCACTGGAGTAAATCGAAGGACAATGGGAGGACAGTGCTACAGTGCTACAGGGGGATATCAGGCTGCCTCAGGTTTTGATTATTTGATTACCTTTATAAAATGTTTTGAGTGTTGATAAAGAGACTTGTAAGACATTTCTGTCAAATATTACTGGAGATCAGGAACATTTCACTTTATTTACATTCATGTTCTACTCTAAATAACTAGTTGGATGGTTGCAAAATGGCAATGAATTTGGAAGCTATTTCAGTATTTCTTGAATCTACCTGAATGGCCAATAGTTTATCTATAATGATTTTGACATAGAGTTGAAATATCAGGGCCAGAGCAAATGTACAGAGGCTAAGACAGTGGTCTTGCATGCGGCTGGTTCAAATCCTTAGCACCACATATGGTCCTCCAAGCACTGCCAAAGGTCACTCCTGAGCACAGACCCAGGAACAATTCTTGAGAACTTCCAGGTATAACCCCTAAAACCAGGAGAAAAAGAGAGACACACTGGTAATGTTGATGGCTAGCTTTTCAGCTTAAGGCATCACCTTATCTCACTACTAACTCTCTTTTACGTTTTCTCCCCAAGCACCATATGTCAAGGTGTATCTGTTAGATAATGGAGTCTGCATAGCCAAAAAGAAAACAAAAGTGGCAAGAAAAACGCTGGAACCTCTTTACCAGCAGCTATTATCCTTCGAAGAGAGTCCCCAAGGGAAGGTTTTACAGGTATTTACTGACTTGTTTATTCCTTGCCCGACATTGTATTTTCACAGAGTATTTTCATACCCAACATCTTTCCTTAGCATATTCTTTTCTGTTCCCCATCATGGATATTCACTGGAAGCTTTAAGGCAATGGGAATGCTATAAAGCTACAAGACACTGCCACTTCCTTTGAGTGAAGTATAGGCTTGCAACCCAATCGTACAGGAATAATAACCATCCTAGACAGTATGTGATCTTAACACAGCACAGCTTTGGATTCCAGTCGTTATATCCTCAGGTTTAAATACAGCTAGCTAGTTGATATCAGCACATTTGCTGAACATTATTTTAGTTTACAATTTTCATGTACATGATTATGCTGGCATTACCCTCCTTTTCATTCTGCCAACAGATTATCGTCTGGGGAGATTACGGCCGCATGGATCACAAATCTTTCATGGGAGTGGCCCAGATCCTATTAGATGAACTGGAGCTATCCAACATGGTGATCGGCTGGTTCAAACTTTTCCCCCCATCCTCCCTGGTTGATCCAACTTTGGCCCCGCTTACAAGAAGAGCTTCCCAGTCATCTCTGGAAAGCTCAACTGGACCTTCTTATTCTCGTTCATAGCAGCTGTCGGAACTGTTGTCATAGCAACCAGCGTTACAAAAAAAGTGAAAAAAAAAAAAGAAACCAAGAAAATCACAGGTCGCAAACCCTGGTAACACTGCATGCTTTACTGTTGTGTCTTCGGAGCCTGTTTCTCGGGATACGGAGCGATCCTGTGTTCTCAGAGGAAGTCGCACACATTGTGCGCTAAAAGAAGGTTCTCAGGGGAAAGAGCAGAGCCAGGAAGAACCTTCAGCTTTGCAGTTCAATCACCTTCAAGTTCTGGTCCAATCTGAAGCCATGGATTAATCTCAAAGAATCAGTTCGTTTCATGCAACAAATGCCCTTTTCAATGGCACCTTTATTTTTTATCGTTCCTTTTCTTCATTGCTCTGGCCCCCTCCTGTACCATCGCCCCTACCCCAAACCCCCGTTTTGCCACAGAAATGCAGCTCTACGGCCCTTGCACCATGTTACAAGTCAAGGGAGGAAATTCATCGGGGAAAAGCAAGAGACCCCAGAAACGGTCCAGGACAAAGGGTCTGCCCGCCTCTGGCCAGGGACCAGGAGTGATGAGCTGCCCAGGACCAGTGGCAGTCTTCTGAGCTCCAGCGGGCCCACCCTCTCCATGCCAAGTTGTGTTGGACTCTGAATATCAAAATTCTGTGGCTACACTGTACTGAATGAAATTAAAGAAACTTTTTTTTGCATGGACACTGATTAGCTGAATACTTAAATTATTTTCTTGGGGCTGCACCTTGCAAAAAAAAAAAAGAAAGAAAAAAGAAAAAATCAGCCATTTTCAACAATTTATATTATTTTTAAAAAATAAATTTCACTAGTGCATGATTTTAAAAGGGGGAGAGAATGCAACAGGGTGATACAAAGACACACCATGTTTATTCTTTAAACTAACCAGAGTCTGTGTTTTGGCAGACATTACAAATAAAAATACTTTATAGAAGATAACGTAAAATTCTCTTTATGTGACAAATAAGTACAATATATTCGATTTGTTTCCATGTTAAATATAAAAAAAAATCTTCTGAGGTTCAATATGTGAAAATTGTTGACATCTTCTCTAGCTCACTTTTCGTCTTTTCCTTCTTTGATGCTTTTCTTTCTCCCTACCAGAGTGAATATTCAATTTAAAAATTACAAGTTTTTGACCTGATACTCTCTTCTACCCCATTTTTGATTCAGAGATGTAGAAGCTCCTGAATTTTTTAGTTTCAGGTGGGGGCGGGGGAATAAAGAACTTAATTTCAAGCATGTTGAAAAGGATTTGGCAACATGACTTGGGAGTTCATTAAAGTAAGTCCGCATGTATTTAATAAGGAAGATATTTGAACTTTTGCAATCTGTTGTGTAGTGCATGGTGATTTTCTTTTCGCCTTCAAAGTTCAGTTTACAGAAAAATACAAAAATCATATGGCCATTGTAATGTTTATAATAAATTTGTTTTTTAACACCAGCATTATTCATATGGGGATTCAAGTATTCTTTCTAGAAAGTCTTTGGTTTTGTTTTTTTAATTGAGGAAAGCAATTTCTTTAGCCAGTTTCCATTTATTCTGAATAGAAACAGTGCTAAAGTTTTGGAGCTCTTTCACACAGGGCTATTTATTAATTCATTTTTCTTCAGTAAAACTCAATTTTTCACAAGTTATATTTCTAAGGAAATATAGTAAACAAATTTGCAACAAATAATTTTAAAGCTCCAATTTTTAAGTGACTCAAAAAAAAGTCCATCTGCCTGCTAATAGTTCTTTGATGTCATCACCAAAAGTCTACACCCAAATCCCCAAACGTCACCCCCTGCCCTTGATTTTACAGTTTTACCACTGGGAGTTGCTACGAGGTCAATTTTTTTTAAGTTCCCCCATTTAGAGGAAAAGTCACTAGTTAATGTAATAACCACCCAACTTTTTTGACTCTTTTGAGCGCACTGTGATAAACTCATTCTTATCAATTCCATAGGTGGTTTATTTGTTTGCAGTCACTTCCAAAATCCACATACATGCCATTGGTTTATGTTAAGGCCATGCACAAAAATTTCTTTCTTTTTCTTTTCCTCCATTTTAAACTTAAGGCTGACCATTAAGAACTCTCATGCCTGATAATGGTGCAAAAGTCCAAATGAGTATCATTAACAATGCCTTCTCTCTATGTGGTGCAATATGAAATAAACCAAGACTGTCTCGACATCCTGAGATCTCCAGCGGGCCCGGGTAGAGTTGTTCCAGGGACGGATAAAAGTTGGTTAAGATCATTTAGACACTCGTGTACCAGCGACAATTGATTTAAAAGACCCATAGTGTCTACTCTCTCCCTTAGAAGAAACGTTTACCATTTTCCTGACACCAAGATGCTGTCACATCATCTTTTGTGCATATTCCTACATAAATTATTTCTAATTTTAATAAGGACATGACTGTATGGGATATTTGTACATACTTGTCATTACGCAGTATTTATTTAAAACGTTGGTGTGGTTTTATTTTTTTAGTTTCTCATGTCTGCACCTGTGGTTTTGTCATGTAAATAGCATACTCCAGGGACCCTTGCTTCCCTGGGCATAGTATGTTTTCAAAGTATAGGGAATTCCAGTCGGGGGGGGGGGGGGGGGGAAGCTGCAATGAACACCAACTAATGTAAATCAAATTCATTCTGGTGATGGTATTTAACACTTTAAATAAAACATTTTCTTTACAGACGTGTGTATGTCCAACTTTCTCTGCCTTCTCTCCTCCCCACACCTCCTTCCCCCACCCTAAGCCTGCAATAGCTCATTCCCTTCCCTGAACCCCACATCACCTAAAGACAGGGAAACTGTCTTTTCCTACCTCGTCATGTCCTCAATAGACCATGGGTCTCGATAGGGATTGTCAGAGGACCTCTCTCCCAAGGGTCAAAGGTCTCCTGCTCATCATTCAAAGAGGCTGCTTATAAAACAGGTGTTGATCTGACTGAAGAGCTCTGTCCATGCCTCACAGGCTTTGTGAGTAGGATGCGTGAGGCAGTTGAGGCGATGTAGCCTCTGCTGATCGTTGAGTCCTTGAAAACCATGCCCAGGCTCTGCCACTCCCTGGGTGAAGATGGCCAGAGCATCCACTGACGTAACTCCAGGCGCTTCCACCCAGTATCAGATCTGCCTTCCACAAAGCATAGTAGCATGTTCAATTGGAGACACAAGTGTGGTAACAGACACACCACCCTTGTCCAGCAACTGGCTTAGAGCACGTGAGTGAGAGGATTTCCCCCTGTCCCAAGGCAGTGCCTCAGCCTGGGATAAAGCACCTCAGCAGAGTTCCACTGGGAGTCCTTCTCACTCTAAATCATCCTGGAGGGGAGGAAGGGTTTGGTGCTCAGGTGGCTGGCTCAGTGCTCAGGAATCACTCCTGGTTCTGCACTTAAGGATCACTCCTTGGAAGTGCTTAGGGGGCCATATAGGATGCAGGGGATCGAAACTAGATCAAGGCAAGTGCCCTACCCACTGTACTATCTCTTTGGCGTCTTGCTCTAAATTTTGAAATACTAGTTTGGATGACTTAGAAGTCCAACCAAAATGGCAAATCTACATCGCTCTCTATTTCTTTGATTTCCAAGGATTCAGTTCCTCATGCCTATCCCATATTGTTTCACTATTCCAGATGCATCCTCTGCTTTGATGTAGTCATTTCTTTACTGTTCACACATTCATGATTTAAAAAAACAACAACAAAAAAAATCCCCTTGCCGTTCTCACATATCCTCTCCTGAAATGCCCTCCACTGAAAATGACCCATGTCAATTCCTTCTTAAACTCCCAGCTCAGGGATGACTCAGCAGTTCCAACAACATAGCTGCCCTTACTTTAATTCCACCCCTTCACCCAGAGACTCCAGATCTCAGGGACCCACAAGCAGCCATAAAGGACTTGCTGCTCACTTTTGTAGAAACTGTGAGAAAATTGAGGAAGAAATCATCAAAGCTGCCTGACTGCACTGACTTAACCATTAATATAGTGTGCTCAGAAAAAAAAACGAAACAACTATGTGCTCCACACGGTGTCTCCTGATACCCTCAATAACCAGCTGACAACCAGAGAATGAAGAAGTTCAGGCACACACACCCTTGTTTTGTGAATAATGTATTGAGTTGCAAAATGCGAGAGGAAATTAACAGTAACAATCTGTACCACTCCAATTCCCCATCTGCCTTAATTCAAGTCACTTAATTTCAACATTCATTTATTCACCTGGTAAATAAGGGAAGTGGGTGAGATACTCCTCTACCCATAAATAAGCACTTGTGCTAAATGAAGCTCATTCAGGGATGTGACCACATTTCTTTCCCCCATTTTGTATCCTCAGTACCTATACAGTGCTTAATCAATGTTCAATAAATGTCTGTCAAATGAACATTTATTGAGTTTCCTATTGTGTTTGTGAAACTTCTAGGCATTGTTTGTAGTAAACAAAGCCAGCATGGCCCTATCTTCATGGGGTTTTCCTTCAGTAAAATAAGAGACACACTGGGTAAGATACTACAAACATGGTAACTTTCTGAAAGGAAAGCAAAGTTTTTAACTTAGACAAGGAAGGTTGGTACCATTTGAAAAGGGGTGGTTGGGGATAAGGACAGTGGTAGAGGGTCATAGACATTTTAATCCATTTGAAAGGTGAAAGAACATAGTTTTTCAAAAGGAGTAAATAGTATTAGGGAATGAGTGAGAATAAGGTAGTGAATATTCCAGGCACACAGAACAGCAGTAACAAAACTTGAGAAAAGGAAACCATGACCATCCCCGTTTTCCTTATAGAACTATAAGAAGTGCTTTATGAAGAATGAATGCACAGCAGATTTCTCCATCTTAAGTTTTCTGCTGAGGTGTTAGTTTCCATTTGAATTTGAATGATAACTAATTTTAAATGATACCATTGAGAATATGTAGAATTATGTAGAATATATCTGCATAATTATATAAAAATGTTTCTCAAAGGGCCGGAGCAATAGTACAGCAAGTTGGGCTCTTGCTTTACACACAGTCAACCTGGTACAATCTCCAGCACCACATAGGATCCCTTGAGCCCCTCCAGAAGTGAGCCCTGAGCACAGAGCCAGGAGCAAGCCCTGAACAAAAAAAAAATTGAAAAATAAAATGGTTCTCAATACTATCCCATTCTGAAGCCCACTCAACCTGTGGTTCTTCTGTACCTAGTCTGTCACCTGAGTAATTAAACACCAACCTCATCACTAAACCACAGTGAGCAGCCCTTCCAAATACTTCTAGGAAGACTATTGTCATCAAAATTCTTGAACCCTAAAATTTATGATCATAGTTTGCATGTTTTAAGTTCAAAATGACTTTATGGAGTCCAATTACCTTTTGAGTACTAACTTCCCTGCATTTCATATAGTTTACTTCCTCCTCTGGTCAGCCATAGTATTTCCATGAGAAAGACCATTTTCTAACATACCCCCCTTTCCTAGTCCCAGGTCAACGCTAGATAGGAGGTGGAGACTGAAACCAGTTTAAATCTATACACTCACCTATGAAGTAATTTGTTGTTTGTTGTTCTAGTCTTTTCTGATGAGAAGAGCCATTCTGATGGGGACCAGATAGCATCTTGCTGTGCATCTGACTGGAGAGTTGTTTTTTCTTTCTTCGTATTTCTAGAATTAGTATCTATCAATTGATTTCTGGCTCTGCCACTTTGTGCTCAGTCTTGAGAAGTCATTCCTGTTCTCTGAGTCTTACCACTCACATCTAAAATAGGCACAGCAAGACTCACTAAATGCAGAGTTGTCCTGGGGATCAAAGGAGATTGTGTCTGTTGACCCTGGAGAACTATTCAAACAAGGGGCCATATATTCAACCATATATTCGTGCTAAGCACTTGATTAGAGTGTGCTGGTCTGTCTCATCTCAGGCACAAATGCTTAGAAGGAAGCCAACGGTTGCCACTGGGCTTTTCAGGGGCATCAGCAGGTGGATTTGGGGCTAGTTCTGCTGAGTCCTTAAGAGGAAGCCTTGTCTAATCTCTGAAGATTGCACTGAGTATTGAAAGGAGGTAAAAACCTTCCAGTATCTATATTGGAAACCATAAGGAACAAAAGGAAAGAGAAAGGGGGAACGCCCACCATAGAAGCAGGCAGAAGAGGGGGATTGGGAGAGAAACCTGAGGACCCTGGTGGTGGGAAAAGTACAGTGGTGAAGGGATGGGTGTTGGAACATTTTATGACTGAAAGCCAATGATGAAGGACCTTGTAACCGTGTATTTCACTGTGATTCAATTAAAAAATTAAAAATTAAAAAAAATCTTCCCTGAGATGAAGGTAGCCACCACCGCCCCCGATGGATTCCACTGGCCACTCTCTGGACCCCAGTGAGGCACTGCGGACAGTGTGGCAGCTTCCGGTTGCGGCGGGGGTGAGGGTATGCGGCGGGAGGAGGGGGATGGGCGGGGAAACCACCTGGAAGTTTGGGGCTGAGCAGACTCAGGTGTTTGGCCCCAGGAGGCTGCAGGCAGCTCCTCCAGGTCCTCCCCACAGCCTGTCCAGTGGTTTCCTGTGCAGGAAACCAGCCTCTCTCTGCTCTCTCAGACCCTCACCTGGGCAGTCAGGCCCGGAGGACACTCAGGGGGTTGAGGCCTATAGACTTCCATAGGGTAACCCCCACTCCCCAGACTGAAGTGCCAACCCCAGAACCAGGGAGGTCTCAGAGCTGACACCCTTGGTCACAGGCTCTCTGTACACTGGAGATTCCGAAACGTCTCTCAGCAAGGCCCATAGTCCTGCCAAAGAAAGGGGGTGAGGGCCCACACCCTTGTTTGTCCCTCCAGCCCTGCTTTGTTGGGAATATCTCGCCCGCACGGGAGAGCCTGGCAAGCCACCCGTGATGTATTCGATATGCCAAACACAGTAACAACAAAATCTCCAATGGAGATGTTACTGGGCCCGCTCGAGCAAATCGATGATCAACGGGAGGGCCTTTACTTTATTTTACTTATGGCTGCTTTTAAGGGTCCTCTCGTCCTCGTGCGTTTTTAGTGCTTTGGCTGTATGTGTCTTGGTACACTTCTCCCGTGTGAATGGTTTCGAGGTGATGGACTGTTCCCTGGGTCCTGCCAGGCTTGCCTCACCTGTGTTGGGTGAGTCTTTGATGGCTTGGAACTCGATTGCAGAGCATGGCCATGCAGCTCATCTCAGAGCAGCACCTTTTCCCCAGCTAGTCCTCTGGGAAGAACAGCCGTCAGTTCCCAGCTCATTTCTCTGGTCAACCATCAGCACTGGGGTTGGAGCGATAGCACAGTGGGTAGAGCATTTGCCTTGCACGTGGCTGATCCAGGTTTGATTCCCAGCATCCCATATGGCCCCTGGAGCACCGCCAGGAGTAATTCCTGAGTGCAGAGCCAGGATAACCCCTGTGCAT